GTTTAGGGAGATTTTGTATGAGCCACTTTGGCACTGTTCTTATGCCTCAAATGGGGTAAGAGCAGTCACTTCTTAGGAATTTGAAATTTTCGATGATTGCATTGTAGGCATGGATTCACTTTGATTAATTGAAATATAATTGCTAATTTTTCTTGGTGAGGTCGAGATTAGAATGGGGCAATGTCTAGTGAACATCTAAATAAATTGAAAAAAATAATTAATAGCTAGACCTCTCTCTTACCTTGCGAAAAAGAGAATGGAGCCCAGTCAAAAAGTGTAAGATGAGACATGAGTATCTTTCGAAAGAAATGACGTTCTCGTGCCAATATGACAAGGAAAACTGAACTTAATTAAATGAACTTGGAGGCTTTAGCAAAATTAGCATTAATCCTTCGTGTACTTCAAGTATACGTCAAAACACCAATGTGCAGCGACGGTTGAGCTTAGTTGTACACCAATCTGTCTTACTGAACTCCTTGATCCTAAGAATAGCCTTGAAATTCCTGAATGCATCGAGTCTCTGTTAGGGTGTTCCAAACTCTCAAAGAAAAGGACTGTTTATTCCTTGCCATTCGCCATTGCCTTCACAAGTCCTTCTGATCGGTACCTAGTTTATTAGGGTTGGCTTGCAAATGTTTTAAAAAAAACACTTCTCAGCTTTGGGCTTAAAAATCACTTATTTTACCAAACACTACCAACTTTTATTTTTCTCGACTTTCGTGTCAAAAGTGCTTTTACTTTTTCTTTTACACAAAAAACACTTATTTTACCAAGCACTACCACCTTTTACTTTTTAAAAATCACTTTTTTCTCAAACACTATCAACTTTTATTTAATCATTTCTCCTCATTTCATTAAAAAAGCACTTTTTTAATGTAGAAGCTGTTGCAAACAGACTTTTAGTGTATGGTGTCACTACTTTGAGGACGTTGTCAATAATTTTGTCAATTATGTTAGCTAGAGTACAAAGATGTAGTTTAGGGTAGAATTTTCTTGATTTAGTCTGTCTACTGTCAATATCCCTTTAACTATTTGTGCATGTTAATTGTTTTGATTCCGGGTGGTGATTATCGCAAGTCCTGTAGTTCCGTTTGTTTGAGGACAAGCAAAAACTTAAGTGTGGGGGAATCTGATAAGTCTGTATTTAGACTTGCATTTGATGTGTGTTGGGTTGACTTTTGATGGTTATCCTAGCTTTAAGACGTCACAAGTCTCAATTTTAGATCAAGCTATGTTTACCGGGCGTTAGTGTGAGTTTTGTGTTGTTTGGAGTCAAAATCAGGGAATTTGAGCACAACACCGGCATTTGAGAAGCAATCGGGACGAGTCAAGATGCATTCGAGAGATAATTGAGAGCTTTGGAGGTCACCGAGAGGTTCACAATGAAGATTTGATGACAAAAGAGCTCTAAAATTGGCTGCGGGATCAAAAGAAGACGAATAGAGTTTGAAAACGGCATTCGGGATGACGTTCCGCCAGTCATTCAAGCATATCTTTTTGTAGAAACGCCCTGTAACGCCCCAATTTTATTGAGCTAGATATATCAATCATTTTTATGTATTTAGTCAGTTAAATAAGTTTATTTTATGAATAATGTGATTTTTATTAATCATGTATTGTTATGGCAGATAACGTTGACCGGTAAGCCCCAGAAATCATAAATGAATAAGTAAATAATATGTTGATCTGAATTTATCAGTTTATTCTTCTTTTGAAAAAAATATTCTTTTTCAATCGGGTCAAATTTTGTTGTGAGAACAACTAGAAATGCAAATTGGTTATTTGGCCCAAAGTGAAGTTTCTTTTAGAATGGCTATTCCCAAGAATAAAAGCCCTAAAATGAAACAAAATACGAGCTTCTTATAATCGCTGCTCCCTTGTAGCGGCTCCTCCTTCCTCTCGCAAAATGTTCCATCTGGACCGAAATCTTGCTGAAATAAGAATTCAAAATCTGATATGAAAATATTTCTTCTATGGCATATCTTATCTCCCGAGTATTATTTAGCTTGTTATTCAACCGGTTGCTATATAGGGTTATGGGCGCACAAAATATTTTCATCCGAAACGTTTTTGATTTAGCGAACTATTTTGATATCTTCCAGTTTGAAATTTTAGTCTCTTCAGGGCGAATTGGTACTACCGTTCTTCCTTCTAAAATAATCCTACGTTTTACAACTAAAGTGGGGCTTTTTAATTTACACGGTTGTAAGCCTGAGTGCTAAAATTCAATTTTTGTTCCTACTGGTTTTAATAGCTTTTCAGCACATAGATGTAGTAATTTGACTAATTCCTTGGAGGCTTAAAACTCTACGTAGACTATGGAGGCCAGAAAGTTTCATTTAGGTGTTGATTGATAAATTAGAGAAACTTCATAATTGAGATATATTGTTAGAATATGCAGCAGAACTTCTAGTTGATATTTCTAGTCTTTATATTCTTGCTATTAGCCCCCTGCCAGTAGGCTCGATGTTATTTTATTTTTTGGAAATGATTAGGACTGGGAAATTCTAATATACCTTCAATACTTTTAATAAAAGATTTAAAAGAAGAGCTTATTGGGATACGTTACCAAGGTGCCACACTTATTTGAACAATTCGAGTTCAACTTTGACAGGTAAGTCATCACCACCTATACATGATAGTTTTAAATAAATTGTGGATGTATAGCTAATTATGAATTGATATACTTGCTTCATTACTTGAAAGTGTATAGCATGAGATTTGTGTAAACTCCAAGTTAGATGTATGGATTGACAGGTGTGTAAATTGTGAAGTTATTGTGTTATCAAATATGAAGTATTCAAGTTCTTTGAATTGTATGAAGTAATTATAAGTAATATTTTAAGGTAGCCGTGCCCCCAAGTAACTACCTGAGCTGAGCGTGGCGGGACGTCCTTCCGCGGGGAGTCCCAGGGTTACTTCTGATGGGCTGCGGGCTAGCTACCCGAGGTCATTGGCGAGGGGCCAGGACACGAGCTACGGGCCCATAAATGAAAAGGACAAAGGGAAGAAAGAATGACGTATAAGGAAACTTTAATTTTCTTTAGTTTCGATATTTGAAGCTTTGTTTGTCATGTTATATGTTTTGTATGTGGTTATGCAAAGTGCTTTTGAGTATTCTAGCTCGTGTATTTATTTATGGCTAGCTAAGACTCCGTTATTTTAGTGGATATAATGGCGAGTTACTAAGCAAATTTTGCTTACGAGACTTCTATTCTCTCGTGTTCTCATGTATAGGAAATGAATAAAGGATGGAAGTTTGAGAGAATGTACAGAGCTGGTGACAGGGTTTTGGATGGGTTAACGGAGAAGACCTGGCTGGCTATTATGTTTTGTATTAGTACTTTGATACTTATATGTTTTGGTAAAGATTTTGTTTTCAAAAACTCCTGATCAGGTGTAATAGTTATGTTTACGGATGGTTTATCTTGATTTCTTTATGTTTTCGTTAAGAAGTTTGGTTATGTATATAAGAAATAAAGTTTCATGAGGAGACTTTATATCTTTACTTCCGCTTTGTATATCGAGTTTGTTTATGTTTGAGTATCGTAATGGTGTCATTTGGGGACGGTCGTTACACGCCCAAGGTACAAGATTCAAGTTCCATACGAAAGATACCTTCAAGTGCCACTTTTCTCCCTTCGTCTCATATAATTTTGCCAACTTTCCTTTTTTTGGATGTCTCATTAACTTTGCAACTTTCTATTTTAAGTAAAGAATTTGTGGTTCCACTTAATTCTCTCTCCTTTGTATAATTTTCAACCACACAGTTTTTACTTTATTAATCCCCGTGCTGGTGAAACTTGACAAAATTATTAGTGACGGAGGGAGTATTATTTTTGTCTATTACATCATTAGTAACCACTTAGGCCCTCATACTTTTTGAAAAAGCAATCAAATTCTTGAACTTTGTAAAAACGTTCAACTTTTATATGTTGCTTGCCATGTCACTAGTCCCCTGACGTGGCACACACGTGGCAGCCCAAATGAGCAGTAACTATGCTGACGTGACACTCATGTGAAAATCCAGTCAGCCATTTGGTGATGACGTGTCGCACTTGTGGACCATCATGTGTGCGCCACGTCAACGGGTGACCTGCTGACATAGCAAGTAATCTGCAAATGTACACAATTGAAAAAATATTCTTTAAGGCTTTTGTTGTAATTGGTAGGTTAAAGTAAAATCTTCTTAAAATGAAAAATTAAAATTGTACATTTCTATTTGGTTAAACAAACTTTTATGACATACGAGCTTCAAATATTTTGTATAGTACTCGTACCAACTACCAAGCATACAACTGAGAGTTTTTTGAGATTTTTAATAAAAGCTAGAAGCAGGCATATATCTAACAGACATATTCTTACAAGTCCATCAGTTGGACTACTAATTATTATATATAGCTAAGTTAGGTTAAAGTTGTGTTTTATTCTAGCTAAAATGAGTTTTCCATCTTTAGACTTAGTCTACCCCGATGCGATTCAAACTACGTACTATCGTATTAGTTATGAGAATATCAACATAAATACATAATATCATGAAAAGATGTTCAGTCCATACAGAATAAGACCGAGAGGATAAGAGAGTTACTTATGTTTAATGATTTTTCATATCATGAACCCACGTACTCTCCAAAATTTTATGAGAAAACTATAGATGTAGTATAACTATTCATGTTCTCATTATTAATTCTATAACTTATCTATATTTTCACCAGAATGTACTATTTACAAGTTTGAACCAACAATGAGTTTTAAAAGTATATTTTATATATGCCATTGTTGTACTTTTCGGTGGAAAAGTTTTTAATATGCACAAAATTATCAGCTACAGTACACGATCTACATATAACTAAAGTTAGTGGGCAATAACTTAGCAAGCAAAGACACACAAACTATTAACTTATGCTTTGTACGCTGGTTTACTAAAGAAGAAGAGTAAAATTAAGATCTGTTTTCTTGTTTATTCATGAACCAATCCGGCCGTATAAATACAAGAGAGTGCCGAGTAATAAGCATCCGTATAAGAGCTAAAGAATAACAACCAAAAATAGATAGGATTCTACCCATAATAAAAAACTATACTTTAATAAAATATCTCCCAATATTTAATAGATAATATCTCCCAATACCCCCCTCAAGTTGGCGCATGGGGATTCAAAATGCCCAACTTGTGTAGGAGAGTCTGAAATTGAGTCTTGCCAAGAGCTTTAGTAAAAATGTCCGCTAGTTGGATAGTAGTGGGAACGTAGTTGGGAGCAATAATCTTGGCTTGAACAGCATCACGAACAAAATGACAATCAACCTCGATGTGTTTGGTGCGCTCATGAAACACAGGATTCTGAGCAATATGAAGAGCAGATTGACTATCACAGTATAGAGGAATAGCCTGAGGATGCTGAACACCAAGACTCAAAAGTAACGCTTTGAGCCATTTTAATTCACAAGTTGCGGCAGCCATAGAACGGTATTCAGCTTCAGCGGAAGAGCGAGCAACAGTGGATTGTTTCTTTGTTTTCCAGGAGATGGGCGAATGGCCAAGAAAGACTAGCCAACCAGAAAGTGATCGACGAGTAATAGGACAAGCCGCCCAATCCGAATCACACCAACCAGATAGAGTGAGATCACTGTCTGTGCGAAGAAGAATTCCTTGTCCAGGTGATCCTTTTAGGTACCGAACAACTCGCAGAGCAGCATTCCAATGATCATTAAGGGGTTTTTGCATAAATTGAGAAAGAATGTGCACTGAATATGTGATATCTGGACGGGTGACGGCCAGATAAATAAGTCGTCCAACAAGTCGACGATAGGGTTCAGGGTCCTGAAGGGGTGGACCAGAAGCCGTCGCCAGTGTATGATGTTGCTCGATCGGAAAGGAAGCGGGCTTCGCTCCCAAGAGACCCGTTTCAGAAATAATATCAAGTGCATATTTTCTTTGATTAAGAAAAATTCCACTCGAGCTCCGGGCAACTTCTATGCCTAAAAAATACTTGAGGGTGCCCAAATCCTTCATATGAAAACATGCATTAAGATATGATTTAAAATGAGCAATAGCATTTCCCTCATTTCCAGAAATAAGGAGATCATCCACATAAACAAGAACATTAAGTTGGACAGCCCCTCGAGTAAGAGTAAATAAGGAATAATCAGCATATGACTGAAGAAAGCCATAACTTTTGAGAGCAGTGACTAATTTTGCAAACCAGCACCGTGGAGCCTGCTTTAGCCCATACAAGGATTTATGAAGCCGACAGACCAGAGTGGAATCCGTAGTTTTATAACCTGGAGGAATAGTCATATAGACCTCCTCATTTAAATCACCGTGTAGAAAAGCATTATGTACATCCATTTGATGTAATTCCCAATGCTTAGTAGCAGATATAGCAAGAAAAGCGCGCACGGTCACCATTTTAGCAACTGGAGCAAATGTTTCAGTATAATCCAGACCAGCAATCTGCCTATTCCCAAAGATGACAAGGCGAGCCTTGAGACGTTCAATGGTACCATCAGATTTATGTTTGACCTTATAAACCCATTGACAACCCAAGGCGCGTTTACCTGGAGGTAAAGGAACAAGACTCCAAGTTGAATTATTTTCAAGTGCCTGAATTTCAGCACGCATGGCGTTGCGCCATCCATCATGTTTAACGGCTTCATTAAAGGACCGAGGCTCCATAACCGAATTAAGAGCTGCCAGATAAGCTTTATGTTTCGAGGAAAAAGAATCACAAGTAACATAATGAGTTATAGGGAACGGCGTACCTGAAGAAGATGACGGAGCAGGAGAAGCGGGGAATGGACTGTTTTTGACAATGGTGTGAGTGACATAATCTCTTAGACGAACAGAAGGCATGCGTGTTCGTTGACCACGGCCTAAGTCAACAGCCGGCTCCTCAAGGGAAGAAACTTGTGGTGTGTCTGCTATTGTACCAGTGAGTGGTGCATCCTGGGACATATTGGGAGTGGTATCTTCTGCATGTGACATAATCTCCCCTTGAGTTGATGGCTGTACTACGTCATGAGCACTAGAGTATCCCAGGGAGTATGGATCATTATAATCAGTAGATATGAGCGGCTGTGGATCCTCCGGTGGGTGAGGAAAATCCGTAGGAGAATTAGAAGCATAAGGGAATATTTGTTCAAAAAATTTTACATCCCGAGATACGAAATATTCTTGAGTCTCTAGATCGAACACATGCCATCCCTTCTTCCCAAAAATATATCCCACAAATACACATTTTCTGCTTCGACTGAGAAACTTATCATTCTTGGATTTCATATTAAATGCGTAGCATAGACATCCAAATACACGAAGAGATTTATAACACGGAGGAACACCAAAGAGGATTTCATAAGGAGTTTTATACTCATGAATCGCGGATGGTGTACGATTGATGAGATAAGATGCCGTTAATACACACTCTCCCCAAAAAGAAATAGGTAAATTCCCTTGAAATCTCAATGCACGTGCCACATTTAATATATGTCTATGCTTACGCTCAACGCGTCCATTTTGTTGGGGTGTGCCAACACAAGAAGTTTGAAAAATGATACCACTACCACGGAAGAAATCTTTTAAACAATTAAATTCTGTCCCATTATCGCTTCTCACACGCAAAATTTTCTTGGAAAATTGGCGTTCCACCATAGCAACGAAAGAAAAAAACATTTTGAAAACTTCCTTTTTATCAATCAGCAGATAGACCCAAACGGCACGAGAATAATCATCAACAATAGTCAAAAAATGCCTAGCACCACACGACGAAGGGGTTTTATATGGACCCCACAAATCACAATGTACCATCTCAAAAATATCTTGAGTTTTATTCAAACTAATCGGGAAAGGGTCCCTAGTCTGCTTAGCTCTCAAACAAATATCACAAGGAAAATTTCCAATATTCTTCAAACCACTTACGAGAGTCATTTTTTCAACCACTTGAGAAGATGGATGTCCCAACCTTTGATGCCACAGTTCTACAACATCTTTAGATTCTTTTACTGCCAATACATGTGCCACCGGTTCCTCCCGTAGGTAATACAGTCCATTCCTCCGTTCACCCGTTCCAATCAGCCTCCTCGAGGGACGGTCCTGTATAACACACATATTACAAGTGAATTGAACGAAACAATTAAGAGCATCACTCAGTTGAGATACAGATATAAGATTACACTTCAACTTTGGGACAAATAGCACATTATTCAAAAATAAATCATTCGTAAATCGTACACTTCCTTCTAGTGTAGCTAAGACAGTTTGTCCATCGGGAAGCCCAACGGTGCATGGGTCAACCGTTTTAATATGACATAACAAGGCTCGGTTTCCACAAACATGATTTGTAGCACTGGTATCAATAATCCAAGCATTATTATTAAACGTACCGGCCATGCGATCGTTAGTAGTAAGCGAGTTACCAAACACCGAAATCAAGGAGTTCCATTGCTCGGTTGTGAAACCAGGTAGAGGGGCGGCCAGACCGCTACTGCCTTCGCCAAGATGTTGCGGCTTCGTTACGGCTTCAGAGGCAACTACAGCATGTGCATTTGCTGCCGGTCTGCCGCGGACTGCTCCAGACTTGCTCGCCATTCCAGGATTAACGCACAAGCTCTGATACCATATTAACTTATGCTTTGTACGCTGGTTTACTAAAGAAGAAGAGTAAAATTAAGATCTGTTTTCTTGTTTATTCATGAACCAATCCGGCCGTATAAATACAAGAGAGTGCCGAGTAATAAGCATCCGTATAAGAGCTAAAGAATAACAACCAAAAATAGATAGGATTCTACCCATAATAAAAAACTATACTTTAATAAAATATCTCCCAATATTTAATAGATAATATCTCCCAATACAAACACATGTTACTAGACTACATCAAGAGAAAATCTTCCAAATTTATTTTATATATTTGATGTGAGGAGTAGTTCATGATCTTAAATAATATTTAGACAAATGCTTCAACATGTCTCCTCCACCCAAATTGGGTTGGACAACATTGATCGGGACACATACATAAATCAATAAATGAGTCAAATAGAACTTTAACCTTTAATTAAGGAGTTACCCAGGCCATAATCATGGGTGCTTAACAACGACCAAATCACATCTGGATTGGAATTGACTATGTTACCATGTTAATACTTAAGATTTACTTCCTAAAGAGTTGGCTCAAGAGGAGGAGCATTACAAGATCTTATATAGTGTTTTGGGTTTTATACTAATATTTTGGTGTGAGATAAATTAAAGACAAATGTCTAAACAGTACAACTAGTTCTATAACGTCGTTGATAATGAAATTTAATGTTAGAAGCTTAGCACCATTTGGCCATCTTCACCGGATCAAAATATGTTTTTCTTATCATATATACTTCGTATAAAAAAGATGGAAGGGGATTATATTAACTCGAAACCAAATATTTTCAATCTTAATTAACTTGATGTTACACTGACATAACACTTTATAATGGGAGTGAGATACTAAGATGGTGATAAGTTGAAATGAGATTCTGCGATAACCCATAAACCTAGGATTCCTATGAATATTGTACTGCTGACAAATAAGCCATAAATTCATTTAGAAGACATATATATGTATATGTCGAGAATATAAGTATTCAGGTCACATTATTATATTCACGATCTTGTGCGAATCAAAACAAAGAACATATGCCAAAGCATTATTCATTTGCAATTTGAGGTCTAGATGTTATACTTTTCATACATTAGATCTCAACAAATGACGAAAAGAGATTCAACAATTTCAAAAACGTAATTAATTACTACTACGTACTAAATAAACTAGAAGTAACGTACACATATAACGTAGATGCTTGTATATATACGTCTTGTTTGATTGTTTAAGATTATTTATATTTAATATATATATATATATATATATATATATATATATATATATATATATATATATATATATATATATATATATATATATATATTACCCGAGCGACATTTAGAATGAAAATTTTGTAGTTTTTCTTTACTATATTAATAATGTTATTTATTAGAATATTGTTCCAATACCGAATACGGCATATATTGTGTAGACAACGTGTCATCAACACATACGTTTACTTGATTTCGGATTAATCATGTCCAAAAAACATCTCATTGATGAGTAGATTACGTTTATCAGTCAGATATCGAGTCAAAATGTTCTTTATATGGTGTAAATGTAGTTAGCTGGGGTAATTAATCATATCATTTGACAATTATTAGACCCATTTGTTTGCATTAATTTAATTCATGATCCATTGATCCTCCAAAAAGTACATTGGAAATACCATATATATACGTTCTTTAAAAAATGCAATGATTATTATAAAAAAATGCAATGATTTGATTTTACTATTACTTGCATACTTTTATTCTGTTAATTTAAAAAGACAATATTTTAGAAATCATATTTAGGATAAACATTAAAATTTTAAAATGTGAACTTTTACTGATAGTTAATTAGTCATTCAACCATTACTAAATAATTAAATATCAAAAGTTGACTCACGTGAATTCAAATTAAATATGTCACAAAGAATAAATAAGTCAAAAATCAATTAATTAGTTTGATAAACGTGAAAATCATTGCAATTTCACAAAAATTGAGAAAATAATATTCAAACTGATGGATATGGCCTTTAAAAAAAACTGATGGATATATATATGTTATTTGTTGATGATGACAGAAAGTATTACTCCGTATTAAAAACGGAAATTGTCCTAAATAGGACTAATGAGTTCCTAAAAAGCACAAATAGGACTACTACTTTTAAAATTCCCTAAATAGGACTAAACATTGATTTTCTACCCTAAATACCCCTAAGAGTATTAATTTATAAAGAAATGCTTTAATTCATAATAAAATCATAAAAAACGTAAAAAATATTTAAAAAACGTAAAAAAATTATAAAAAATTTATAAACCATTTATAAAATAAAAAATTTAATTTTTTATTTTTTTAATTTTTTTTAAAAAATAATAAAAAATAGTAAAAATCCATAAAAAATGAAAAAAATTATGGATACCTTTCCCACCGCCTCCCGCCGCCTCCCAGCACCACCATCTCCGATTGGTGAAATTTCTTCCACTTTTGGTAAAAAATGCCATATTTTTCTGAAAATGCCAAAAAGATGGCATAATTACTCTTCAATATGCCAACATTTTCATTAAATATGCCATCATTATGGCATTATTTAAAATGTTGGCATATTTTTCTCCGGTGATGGGAGCTGGTGGTGCTGGGGGTGGCAGGGGTGGTAATGTTTTTTTTTTTAATTTTATGATATTTTTTATTTTTTTTTTATTTTTTTTTATTTTAAAAAAAAAATATTTTTTTTATTTTTTTAAAAAATATTTTTTTATTAATTTTCTTTTATTTTTTTACGATTTTTAGTATTTTTTTCGATTTTTATTAATTTTTTTATGATTTTATTATTAATTAAAACATTTCATAAGTTATAAGGGTATATTTGTCCAAACACACATAAATAGTCCTATTAAGGGAATTTAAAAAATGTAGTCCTATTTGTGCAATTTTGCCACTTTTTAGTCCTATTTAGGGAATTGACTCTATTAAAAATTGGAAAACCACAGAAGTACATTCTTAGCCACTTAAAATCATATAATCGTTCAGTAACAATATGTAATCCAAATTCATGTGCCGCTAGGAGCTTGTTTTAATAGAATTATAATAGGACTACTCTTGTACTTTAATTACATTAAACTCTACTGGTATAAATATATCTGTCAGGACTCCTTAGAGAGCACCATTTTCCATTATTCTCACATGGTATCAGAGTCACCTAATTTTTCTCCGCCGCCGTACCTTCCGCCTACGCCGCCGCAGCATGACCACCGCGGCAATGACCTCGGCTATCTCCAAGTCCTCGGCCGCGGACAGTTTTTCTTTCCATTTCTCACATCTTTGACTTGATCCTAAACCCCAATATACGAAGTATATCTTAAATAAGGGTGGTGTATTTATTAGAGTTTTAAAAGTGACCGCAACTTAGGTGTCACTCTAGTATGATTTTAACCTTTCAGTGGGTCCAATAATATGAGTAGTTTAGGTCAACTTTGACTAGATATTGTGAGAGTATAAATTGGTGGAACTAACTGCAACATAGAAACTAGAAACTATTGTACATATTCAGAAATGATACTCCATACTAAAAATTTTACAGAGTTGCAAAAAATTAAAGTATTATGATAGTATAAAATAAGAACTTAAAAACTAAAAGCCTAAAACATATAGACGAATGTTTTAAATTGTTATTTACTTTTTTTTATTACATCATTAAAAATACCTTTTTATTAAACTCTATCAATTTTAACTTTTTCAAAAGCATTTTTCTCAAATCCTATAAACTTTTGCTATTAGACACTTTCATTCTCAAAATCACACAAAACTCTACATTTTAAAAACAAAAGTGTTCGATGTACACCTTTTTGTATGCACCATTATATTCGTTGTCCTTATCTTCACACATAAATAAAGTTGATTGTATACAGACAATTTATCTAGAAATATAAAAGTTGTCTATTTAGAGACAAAATATGCGAATGGTGCACACAAAATGATTTACACCATCAAACATTGCATTCCATTTACTTTATGCGGTTAATTAAATTATTGACATGCCATTAAGAACTTCAATACGACGGAGTACCATATATACCATATACATGACATGATACATCGTTGTTTAAAGAAATTAAAATATTCCACTGCACAAGTCCGCAAGATAATTGATTTTAAATTAATGAAATTATAGTGTGGGTATGTAGTATTTCTGATTACAATTAAAAGGATACTAGTAGTAAAAGATAATTTTAAATCGACAAAAAGGAAAATAATTTTCTACCATGAGCGAGGGAGCTTAAAAAACATGTTCCACCCAAATTGATGAATAGCGAGAATTTCATGCGTCAAATCAAATACAACAAAATGACAGACGATTTTGGATACCTGAAAGCAACCCTAAATTAGGTCATTTCTGTGCATAATGGAGTATGTGGTAATATGTGGACCAAAAATACCAAAATGAAACAAATTAAAAGCTAATAAAAACCTTAATGTTTAGAGAGTATAACCCGAAATAGGATTAAGAAAGTTTGAAAATTCCAAAATAAGACTGACATGTTTTTATTTCCAAAACAGGGCTAATAACTGTCATGTTTTGACAGTACCAGACTTCAAACATGACAGTATCTTCCAAACTTTACAGTAATTAGTAGTTACCCCTATTTTGAGAACAAAAAACATGGCAGTCCTATTTTGGAATTTTTAAACTATTTTAGTCATATTTCAGGAACTTTTCCTAATGTTTATAGCACTTTCTCCGTCTCAAAATATGTGATTAGACTACACGAATTTTTAACCTTCAGGTATTTGTGACCCCAAAAAATGAATTATCTGTGCACAGACAATTCAGGATCATAGACAATTCAGGTATTTGTGACCCCAAAAAATGAATTATCTGTGCACCCCAAAAAATGAATTATCTGTAATTGTCTTTGCATACACTATTACACTTACATGTGTAAGTCAGTGTAGTACACAAAACAAAACTTATCCTATATGATCATCATTCAACCAAATTTCAACATTTTCCTTTTCAAAATGACTTCCAATATTATAAACTCAAATTTCAACCAATTCTTTTTACCATTCAATGAATTCCAAATAAAAAGTACACATAAAATGAGACATATGTAGTAATAATGATTATTATTTTATTTTATTTTATTTTATTTATAAGGTCCAA